GAAATACAATGATTTTACGCCTGAGAAAAATCGTGGATAAGAGTATTTCTGTACCTTCATTTTAACATCTATGTTTATTTCCGAGCCCAAGGTACTATTTAATATTGAAAAACAGTGGGAAAAAAAAAGAGACTATTTTCGTCTTAGTGGCACTTTAAAGGTTTAAGATTTATACTCTTGGACAACAGCAATTATTTCCTTCGACTCATTCAAGTACAAGCAACAAGATGTCTCAAGGAATAACTGACTGCAAGTTGACAAAGCAGCAAGCCACTAAGCCCGCTTTCCTTCGTTTGACCACAATAAACTACGTATTATGAAAATATGGGTTTCGAAACTGGAACAGCCTGTATCCTTGTGGAAATTAGGCAAAGCTTCCTTTCGTAGCCAACAAAGGGAGTGCATCGTGACGATACACGTGATAAACCCACTCTAGGCCAGGTTGTTCGAAGCTGGGTTAATATAACCCAGGGTTGGTGGGAAATCATGGATTTCAGGTCTGAAAGCTTTAAAAGAAAATTCAGTATGAATTTTTTGTCAACAATTTTGTTAATCAGAAGCTCTAAAATAAATAGAGAAAATTATTACCAAAAAGGCTTTTTAACAAAGGAATAAAGGAACCCGGATTAAAATTTAACCTTGGGTTAGGGCTAATCGACCTTCGAAAATCTGGGTCCGGGGAATATTTGTACAATTCCGGAAAAATATAAGGCCTTCTCAATACAAATATAGAAAAGTCATTTCCAATACAACGAGTCCTTACTAATTTTGAATTGCAGTGGGAAGGATGTAAAAAAGATTCAGTATCAAGAATTTAACTTTTTGTTGACTGCCATTCAGTCGTATAAGGAATGTCTGAATGTCTGAATTATTCCTAGACAATTTTAAAGAGGTTGATTGAATAATGCAGTTGAATTTAGACGTTTTAAAGTATCTTTTATCAAATTATCATGCCAGTTGCCATAATAACTATTGCTATTTTTCAAGGTACTCAGTTTCAACTTTATCCGCACGTGAAGAAACCATGTCTTCCTTTATTCTTTATCTTTAATTTCATATTCCTATTTTCAAAATTAAAAAAGGAGCAGCATGAACAGTTTTTGTTGACGAAAGGTAGTTTGGTAGACCTTTCAAAATTATTTAATTTGACGCCAAGAAGTCATGCTGTGAAAGATGACCCATTAGGGAAGCTCTCATTTCCTGTATATCTTCATAAACATTGGTCCGAATTAATGGATTTTCCACCATTAATGAGCTATTCCGACGTCTAGAACATACGAATTAATCAACACGAAAAAAAAAAAAAAAACATGAATTATTTAAGTGTAGGTAGGTTAATGCGAATGAATAAGTACTCTCCGAAGGCATTATCTTTGTTCGCCGAACATGGCTCTCCTGGAATTGTGAAAGGTAAGGTAAGATGAGGAATTTCGTGGATTTACTTTCATTTCAATAATATGCCACGAATATTCTATCTTAATGATTAGAAGAAAAGATATTTGATTGGCACGAGAAATGCCAGTTTTGTCATTAATTGCGTCTGTAAGATGCCACCTTTATTCTTCAAGAAATTGAACAATGTAGTTGTCGATTTTCTTTTTTTGCGTTATGCATTATGGCCTCGAGATAAAATCTATGCTTAAAGTAAAGGATAATGTGGGTTTTCAGGCTCGAAACGTCAGCCTAAAATATTTTCAGGGCTTCCTCTGCCACAACAAGAAATGCATACCATTAGGTCTTTATTTGCATTTTAACAACGGAAACAGATGTACTGCAGTTAGCTATTGCGCCTTTAACGATTTCAGCTCTGTACTCTCACCAAATCGATTATTCTTCTTTTGAAATAAATGTCAAATCTCAAAAGCAATTTCTTTGAAAAAGGAAAACGGACGGGTTCCTCCTCCATGATATGTAAACACACGGGCAAACAATAAGCTTTTATTTTAAGTCACCTTTCTTGTTTTTAAATTTCACTCTATATAATCGCATTAATGGATGAAGTTTACACTCAAAACTAAGTCATTCACAAATATGCCGTTTGAGGAGAATTGATCAACGACAATCCGCGCCGTGTTTAAGCAACTATAACCATTTTGACTGTGTGGTAACTTCTGCGCATGAGTGTCCCTGGTGAATACGACCGATGCGCACTTTTACTTATTAACTGCTCGCTTTCACTTATTAACTGCACACGTTCACTTGTTAACCGCCACTTTCATTTAATGACCGAAAGATAATTTTTTATTTCAACCTAAGTGAGTGAAAAAAAAAAATTTTTTTTAGTAGGGATTTTCGTGCCTGGAATTAACAATCTAAATACCCCTGAGACAATCTAAATACCCCTGATATACATTTAAACGATTCCAATCAAAAAACTAAGCATAAAGCCATGTTTTTTCCGAGGATAGACTAAATAAGCGGCATGCAACTATTTGAAAATCCAAATCAAAAGAAAGACTGAAAGCTTACCCGATGTTAGAAGCTCAGAAAAGTCGCCGAAAGAAAATTAAAAGCTTTTACAAAATGTTTAATATCTATACAACTTTCACAAAAATCAGTTATTTGATGATTGAAGAAAAAAAATAGCCAGGAGCAGTTATGATAACAGATCTCCTTATGAAAATATTAATTTTCTTATTTCACTTTCAAAAGCCACTTGAGTTCAACAGTTTTCTGTGTATTTCGTGTCAGGAGTCAAAATGGCGTATTGACCAAAGTTTATTAAAAACAAAAAAAATGTTGACCAAAGTTTAATTATAAACTCGAATCTACCTCTTGAAATATTTTAGCTCACGAGTGATGATAAATGCTATGAATATTCTCCTCACGAATGTACTTTGGCGACCCCCTTGGCGACCCCCGAGGCGACATAAAAGAAAGTTTGTCATGTAAGCAATCTTTGGGTATCTCACGATTTCCTATTTTTTAATAGTTTCTAGAACTAACGCTTCAATTAATAGTAAGCTATCAGATTAGCAAAAGAAGTTGAATCCTACGGGATTAATACTGTGGAAACCAAAGCGAGTTCAGAACAACCAAGAATGAGATAGTTTGTGTTTAACTACGTTTCTGTTTCGAAGCCAATCCACCGTAACTGAAGCTCTTTCGCTTCCTAAAGGTGCGTTTTCGTTGGAATCAGCAAACTCTAGAGGTAGGCCTTGGCATAAGATAGTGCCGGAAAGCCTTTGTACAATATTCATGCTCAACTTTTGATTCAAAATCTAAAATATTCACTTATTCTTGAAGTGTCTTCCGAAGGAAGAAAAAAGCCTTTTATGTTATGGAAGCAATTCAGCCGGGCCGCTAACAGAGCTGCGAAGCTTGGGGAGAAACGTTATTAAAATTTTCCCAACACTCTGCTCTTACTAATTGTTGATTTACACAAAGTCTATTGAGGGTAAGGAGCCCAATTTTTTGTTTTGCTTTTCTTTTTTTAAGCTTGCCAACGGGAAATAATATAATGTCATGTGGAGAAGTTCTATTTCGCAATAACCTTGAACCTTCCAGAAAAATTCCATACAACATAAAGAGCTACGGTTGAAATGATGTGACGGAAATTCTTATGCAGGAGGCGTTCTGATCTCAAATTTAGCAGACCGTGTTTTAAAATACTAATAAATTTAACCAATTCTGCGAATCTTGTCAAAAGGGAACGACAATCCATTTCAACATAATGTGAGCCTTCATAGATGGACATTATAGTTTTCTGAGAATTCAGTCTTTCATAATAAGTTCTATTTTCATTCAAGCGACATCTAGTCAGAAATTAACACAAAAAATGAATTAAAAAAATTTAAAAACCTATAGGATAAATAAAGATTTTATGACGGTTCAACAATTCGATCAATCCAGTAATCGCTCCCAAAATAGATTATTTTATTTGATGCGATTTTAAAGAAGCGGTAAACTACATGCCAGATTACAAAACATGACAACGCAACTTGCTTCTAAAATTATCAGTTTTCAAATCTACATTTCCAGCAACCTATCCCCTTTCACCAATTTACTTAATGGTTAAGCCCATACTACCATCAAACAATCAATCGAAAAATGCAAAATTTGCGTAGCTGCATAAGTTGTTTACATATAGCTGACACAAACCTGACATAAGGGAGAATTGAAATTTGCAAATCTCTCGCGCCACTTGAGTATCTTGCTTTTAGCGCTCGAAAAAAATAAGAAGCACAAATCAGCTCTAGGCCCTACTTTTTTTAATCCCCGTTGGCGGTAACAAAACTCCATTGAAATTATCGAAAAGGTAAAATTATGACAAATTTTGAGTTCAGAGAGGAAGAGACGGCGGCTGTTTTGTCGCTTATGGTTACGAATAAGAAAAACAGTGTGGCGCCTTTCCTGCACCTGTCCACCGCGTGCTTGTTTTTGAAAACATTGCGGGGATCCCCTATAGAGGCGCGTACATTGAAGGAGTCATTCCTAAATGATAGCTATTAATGTCCAGCGGCAGAAATCTCTTCTTTTACCAGCGAGTGCTTGTGATGGTAAAAAGGGAATCCTATCCAGAATCAAGTTATTCCGTCTTGATCATAATAGCATACCGCGTTGTAAATGGTGAGTTTTTGCACCTAATTAACGTGACAAAGAATGCAGTGTAAATGAAAAACTAATTGCCTTCGACACACAAAAGTCGATTCGCCAGCAAGGACATGTAACATTGAAGAGACGCTTTTCATAGCAACTCAAACTAAACATCTCGAGCTCTGTCACGTAGCCGCGAATTTCTCGTGTTAATAAAAATGGTGCTTGAGATCCTCTTTGAAATGTCAGCATCATGTTTTGAATTCATCCGTTAAAATTGTCTTCAAAAGCATAAGCTTAACTTGACAGGTATTCTCGAGGTTATAATTACCTTTATTTTCGTGTTGTTTGGGCCATACAGAAACAAGAAGGCGAGTGATTGTATAAAAGACAGATTTTCACAGAACGAAGAAAACATGTTTTTTAAGAATGTAATGTACCTTCAACTGACTTACTTTGAAAATATGGAAATTGGTTTGGTAAATCCTTATTTCATATTTTACGAGAAAATATCAGCTTTAATTGCCGGCGTAAGGTTGCCAATATTTTAACCTAAAATCTTTTTCCCTTTCACAGGCTCAAGAACAACATGAATGAAATTTGCGGGTAATGAAAGGCAAAAGAAAGCAGAAGCAGAAGAAGGATGGAAAATACAACTGATAACTATCGTAGAATTCCACCGCGAAGCAAATTTAACGACGAAGAATCCACTGCAGTGTTAAGGCTGATTATTGAGCAAGAAAGACTGCTTAAAACTCCAGCAAATCCGGTTCTGAATATCAATAGCGACAAGCTGAAAAGACTCCCTCCACTGAATGGCAAAATGCAGGATTCCTTGGATCAATTTGACCCGCACAGGAGCCAGCGGAAACACAGGCCGGGGGACGACATTGTTCTGAGCAGGCCGACGCTTTTGAAAGGAAAGGAATGTCGTGCGCTCGAGGAACCGGCATCGCTCGGCAAGCCAAAAGTTCCAGAAATATACAGCACGCCAAAAATCGCACGTCCTCGAGATCGCGAGAGACCGCGCGCGTCGTACGGACGACTCGCTCCGAGTCGTAGTAGTAGCACGGAAACGAACACGCGAATCCGCTCAAGAAGCATGGAGGAAGCTACGGAGGAATGTAACGACTTAACTTTCTCGGCGACTGACGAGGTTTTGGAAAGACCGACAAATCCTACACCATTAGAGAACGAAGATGACTTTAGAAATAATCAAGAAATTGCAGCCAGGACTTCATGTAGCCAAAGCGCATGTGATGATAGCGAAGACGACAAAGTGAACACACAGCGAGTCATCGCTTCTTACATTAATTAAACGATACAAAATGTGGTTTTCTTAGTCATGGAGCAGACATCATGCGAACGGAATGACGGAATGATGGTAGAGTTGGTTTCACTTTGCTTCCTGTTTACCTGGTGACAAACTTTTAAGAATAAGCAAACTTGTTGACATAATTGAGAACACTAAGACGGCTTGGGAAGTGGACTAACGTCAAAGCTGATTTTAAAGAAAAGGTTTAAAGAAACCGTCTCGCCATACTATTTTAGAACTAATATAACCTCTAAAGTAAAAATGAAAATATTTCAGTAGCCAGAGATGGCATTGCATAAAAAAAAAAAAATAAAAAAAACTGGACCATGTCTTGGATTAACTAAGATATCTTTCTCTCGATGTGACAAGTTTTTATATGTAACACGCTCGTAATTCCAAAAATAGTAATTTCAGAGTGCAGCCTCTATATCCCGCGGCTCGTAATTATTATTTTTTTTATTTCCAAAGCAAATAAAATTGAGGAGCCATTCGAGACGGTTTCTTGCCAAAGGGTAAAATTAAAAGGAGCGTCAAACGCGGATAATTTCGACAGTGCTGTTGGGCATTCTGGCAGATATCGAGAAAAATGAGCTTTTTCACTTTGATCTGCAAGATGAGATCTCACAAATTAATTCACAATTACAAAGGTGAACTCAGCGGGAAAGGACCCCAACCTCCCCCGTCGCTGAAGAACAATTTAGTGTGTCTCATTATTATGACAACCACGAAACAACGGAGATTGAAAGCGAGACAGAAACTTTAATCTGTAAACTGACTCAACTCAGCCTTTAAACGAACGGAGCGGGCGCCATAAGTTCTTTTATCAATATTTTACCGCTTGTATCAAATGTGTACCGTTGGTAGGGAGGGCTAAGATGTTTACATGAGAGACTTACAAAGAACGGCAGAAAATGTCATAAGAGAAATATATAATGGAAAAAACACCAGAGGCAACGTAAAATGAAAATAAATGGAAAATCATATTTAATGTATTTGCTTTGTTTTGTTTTTTAACCAAACAAGTCAAAACAATATCACAACAAACCGCTTTGAAATGCTTCAAGTTAAAAACATGTTATATTTCAAAGATTGCCGCTTCAAGTTTTAGGCTACTTTGAAATTTCAAAGTATTCAAAATAGTAAAAAAATGTAAAAAACTCATAAAAAATACCATATTTTTGATAACAAACTTTGTTCGAAAAGCCCAATATCTTAAATGCAATAGTTCGACTGCCTTAGGTAAAAAGTGATCATAGAATTCTTTAATTTCCTTATTTGATATATTTTCTGTGTACTCAAAATTTACAACATGAACGGAAAGATACTTAAATAATTTACCTCGGTGGTCCATTTTTACGGCAGCACGTTCACAATATTAATTGAGCTAGCTAGTCTTTACACATTACTGTCTTTGTTTAGCACCTTGTACCATTCATGCATCTATTTGAATTTTGCGACCTTCCCATTTTCGCTGCACTTTCAAGATTGTGATTGGTTTGTAGTTGGAACGCTTTATTCGATTCGCCCAAGGCGACAATTAACGAACACGTAACATTCCCTGTATTGTGTGAGGTTCATTTTATGTTCAACGCTTTTTCCCGTAACGCACGCTCACGCAGATTCAGCACGTTCCACGGATCGACGCGGAGATGTTTTCCTAAGCTGTGCGAAGGGACACATAGATGCGGAAAGTCGACGAAAAGGAGTGTTTTTTAAATAGTTCGTAAAACAAACCACAAGAACAGCTGTTTCAATGAACATTTTCCCTTTTCATTGTTTTTTTTTTCTCTCTTATCGACTAATATGTATGGCAAATGACCAATTTAACTTACCACCTATCGAAATATTGATATCAAGATGAACAACCCTACAGATCGTTATCTGCTTCGACGAAGTCAAATTGAATACAAACCACACTGAAGTCGATAACAGCTGCGAGGAATTTGAGTTATCATATGAAAAACAGCGAGTGAAAACATTAGTATGACGTACTCCGGTGAATTAATGTAAAATTTGGAGACAATAAGTAAATTGAGACCTATTTTGTTTGATGTCAAAGGTTTGGAACATTTTAATCATTCGTTAAAAAAAGAGAAATAAAAAAGGACCTACAACACGGAGAGGCATAAGAGAGCTTACTTACTTGGAGAATTGCCAAAAATTACGTGTAAGGATTTTACCGAAATAAAACGCTTGCCAAATTACGCACATGAATGTGAAAACAACATTATGGAGATATTCTATCGACGTAGGCAAACTTTTATCGTGCCACCAGTGGAGGAAACACATTACAATAACAATCCCGAACGGAAAGCAACAATTATTTCAGGCCTCGTTTTCCTTTGGTTGAATTAGTGTGATGTGTTAGAACATTTACCGAAATTCTCATCTTTGTCCTACATTGTAAGACCTGTTTTAATTTGGTTGCATTCGATTTTAAAACTTGCTTTGTGAACGAGATCCAGAATCTTTTAATTTTCACAGCATCGGAAAAGATATTTTAAGTCATGCAAAATAAGCTTCAAAGGCGTGTACGCAAATATTCAATTATACGTCGAGCACTTTGCTTCTAAAAAAATTCTAACCTGAATTCATTTAAATCAAAGGCAAAGCAAATATAGTTTCACTTTTTGCTGTGTCAACGTATGACTTGGTCAAATATCACAGATAGAAAAGTGAGTTATGTTTGTCATTTTATCCTTAAGTTAGATAAACTCGGCACGGCAAATTTGATGGAGGAATAACCATAGGGTTCAAAGATTACTTCGCCAAATAAAAGGGTTAAAAATTGAATAAGAAAGTAGCATCGCGCATGTCATTGTGAGATGGAAAAGAAATCTTCCATATTCCTCGTAATCTAGTCACATTCTAAATTTGTACACGTTCTTAAGACTCCCCATTTCTCTTACTTTTTTTAGTTCTTTCCTAATCTCACACTTTCTTTCACTTTGTTCCTTCAGTTTTTAATTTTATCCGCAAAGAAACCACTCCCTAACTTTGCACACTGAGCCGAAAGTGGTGCCGAAAGTGATATACACACTAGAATGTCAAAACTTGTTCACTAGCATTAGACAATTTCAACGTTCTCCCGATTTCAGCCTTTCTCTTCTTTCGACGATCGATCTCAGAATTTTCCATTTTTGTCATTTAATTTCATCTCTAAATATAACTTTACGTCATCTAAGCACATTGCGAATCAGGCAATGCCATAAAAATCTTAAATATAATTAAACTTTGCAACCGAAAACTGAAATAAATAGAAGTTTAATAAAGGAGTAAAAAATGCGCAACGTTGCCTCCATGTGCATGTAAATGAACTAACGAAAGCGAACGCGTCATTAATTGCTAACCAGCAGGTAAGCAGCAGGTTCTATTGCTAAATAGATAACAAAACGCAAACCAGCAAGAAACTAACAAAAACACCGCCCTGGGGAAAACTTTTTCAATTACCTTTGCTCTTTAACCGACTACCTTTCTTTGAAAGTTCCGACGAAAAGAATTATCTTAATTGAAGTCGTAATACATTAAATTAGGTTTGAAATTGAATGTGACGCATACAGATAACTTCTCGCAGCTGCTGTTAGCTATCAATGTTGACTTGTATTTGTTAACGAGCGAAAAAAGATTAAAAGCCGAAAATACGGTTATGACTGAGTCATATGCCCAAAACATGTCAGTCAAGTTGATAAAGTGTCAGTTAGATCAAACGTCTAAGAGTTTTTTTTTCAAATTTCCCCGTAAGCCAAAAATAGAAAAAATAACCTGCCAAAGTGGGCGTCTCTTTCAGGAATTTAAACTTTGTGTTCCCCTCGTTACCTTTGGCAAAAAACAGAAGCTTCGCTTACGCGGGGGAAGTTTTTTAGAAGTTTCGCTTGAAGTTGAACTTTTTTTCTCCGTATCGAGTTCGTAAACAGCAGGCATCGGGACCACTGAAGTTTCCCTAAAATGTTTCCTATAAAGATAACCTTTGATAAAGATGAGTTTAATGATATATTACAATGATATATTACAATATTACAAAAAATTAATATGCACTTCCTGCAGTTAGCAAAGGCTAGTCGAGGCGGGCAGTGTTTAATACGTATATTATAAAATATAAAATAAAAAGATTTACAGAGCAAGAGATTCAAAATTCTAGACAAATTATAACTACATCAATACATTTAAGATACGGTTAGAAAACAGAACAAGCTGGGGTCTTATAGTTGTGCTACTAAAGTAGACAAATTCTCGTAAGAAGAAACACTTCGACTTTTCTTCGCCCAGTTACCACCTTTTCTCTTGTAATCAGTCCCAGCGAACTGATGTTTACTTCTTTACAGTCCTTAGAGGGCGACTTGCCTGTGTTTCGATTTGTATCGTCAACAGAATTCTCTCCTTTATTCAACATGTGTGCCGCTTGTGGAAGACTAGAAGCTTCATGGAAGGTTAATGTTTTGCTTGCTTTGATTTCTTCGATTCTTTTCTGGTCATCACTTTGTTCTGACCCAGTTTCAAAACAAGAAGGTAAACTTCTTTGTCCTTTTTTAGTAGAGCTTTCTGTTCCAGCACCTTCAGAAGTTATTGTTGCATCACTTCCAGAGTGGAGTTTTACACTTGCTTCAGAGTCCATCAGTGCCGCACCTTTTTCACTTAAAATTTTCATTCGCTGTCAATCAGATCTCAGTAAAACAGCAGTCCATCGTTTTCCACGACTCCTCCCCACGGGAACCTCTCGCTCTTTTTTAGCATAAAACCAAGCTTCTCCCCATCCCCGACACTCGGTCTTCGCAGCAGATTTGCAGGACTTGTGAAATTGCTGTACATCTCCTTCATCCTCGATGTAAGGAAACTCCCTTGACGAAAAGCAATCTTCTAATACCTTTCCCTTCGCGCTGTAACTCGCATTTTGATGCTTACATCCTCTTCTAGCAGATCGCGATTTCTTCTCAACGGCGGGATCAAATGCGAGAGACATCACACCAACCCACCAAATGCTTTTCGGTCCCTTAGCAGTTGAGTGTTCACTCCCGCTGGCGGACCCTTTACCGAATGCCCTCTTTCGTAAAAGGATGAGACTGAATTTCTCTGTCGTAGTTGTTTTTCGCGCTCAAATCGATGTCGGTCTCTCTGTAAGTCGCTAAGTTCTCTCAGCACTCGTTTCTCTTCCTCCGTATAATAGACAGATCTTCAAACCCTTCTCCTTTGCAAGTCGGCGCTAAGATTTCGGAATTTCTCCTCTTCAACGCGGCTTTTGAGATCCATCCATTCACTGGGCCGTCGCATTTCACACACTTGTTCCCCAGAAGGTCGCAGCGGTATTCGTTGCCGCAACTCCGGTAAGCCTGTTGCCATTTTTAAAATGAAAATAACACGCGAAATAACAATTGAAACACGCCTATAAAACGAATCTTGAATAAGAAGTTTCCAACTGAGCTCAAATCAAGACTTTTTAGTTTAGGAAGAAACTTAAGCTAACTATATTCATCCACCTCTAAAACCCATCGCTAAATGGTAAAAATTGTTTACTCCTCGTTACTACAGCGCGCACGCAAAAAACAAACACATGGTGAATCATGTTTGCATACCATGACACGCATCCCTACGGTGGCTTCAAAGGGACATACACTTTCCTCTCTCTTTTTTTTTTCACTTGCGACTT